GAATTATATTCTCATAAATACATTTATAATTATTCCGAAGAAATATTCATTAACGATTTTAAATAGAATTAAAAAAAAAATTAAAAATTAAAAAAAATAAATTGAAAAAATAAAAAACTTTATGCTGCGTTTCATGGTGTTTATCTGATGCTCAATACTTCATTGTAAAAAAAAAAAAAAAATTATTTCTAGGATATAAACACCACCGCATGAACATGTAAGCTTATACACACCCGGATTGGAATTTGATAATAATTTGGATTTGTTAGTACATAGAATTGCTTTTAAAGTTGGTTAAAAAATAACTTTAACACAGAAAATCTCCTGAGCTTCTTCTTAATTTTGATCTTAGTTTTGGAATCCACGGGAGTTTTGTTCTATTAAAATCATTTTCTGTTTCATCTGTGACTAATTAACAGGATTGTTTTTGATTTTTAGATTATTTTCTGTTAAAACTTTGATCTTTTATGGTCATTTTCGACAAACATATTTATTATAAATTGTATTTCATCTTTAAGGTATTTTGGGAAAAAAATATTTGTGGCTCTTGATGTAAAATATTTAAAGACTCCAAAAGTTTTTGCCGGATTAATGTTTGAATTTCGTATATTTGTAATTTCGGATTTTCAATAGATTTTGAAACTATAGTGGAAATTATTTCTATTTATTACTGTTATACCGAAGAAGTTTAGTTTTAATTCCTTTCGTTTTCCTACCTCAAAATCAAAAGCAAAACTTTTGTTGTTAAAAAAACAAAAATAAAATTATAGTATAATAAATTTTTTTTTTAACAAAGAAGTGTTAAGCATTACAGCATAAATGACGATTGGCATGCTCCCGAAAAGTGCAAGGATTGCCACGGTATACTCAATAGAATGCACCCCAAAGCAAGTGCAATTAATTCTACCATGAAAAAAAAAATAAGATCTTAAGATCAATTATGCACAAACAAATTACGATATAAAACGGTCTAAGTTTCAGCTAGTTTATTATACCTCATTGGTTTGATCAAAATATTTGCTTTTTTTAAAAGTTTATCATTTATCTTTTTTTTTCATAAATATATAAAATATAATTATGAAAAAATAATAAATTGCCATTTCGATAACTCCCACAAAATATGTTGCAAAATTTGTAAAGAAGTTTTTCATAAAACTCCTCATGATAACAATCCTGCTCTTGTTAAGGCACTACTCTACAATTTTTTTTTTTTAGTATAATCTTTTTTATCGTAGCAATTTGAAACCATGTATACTCTTCAAATAAGTTGAATGCATTTAAAAGTAAAAGTTCACAGTAATTCATAATTTTCTTGATTATTTTTATTTATAATTTTTATTTATAATTTTCTATAGACAAGAACAAAATTCTAAAACAACATTTTCATATGAAAGCCTTGTTTGTATTTAAAAAGTATGTAATTTATATATATTACGTCAAATTTAAAAAAAACATTGAAAAAAAAAAAAAAAAAAAGAAGGTTCAAGTCCTTCATATATTAGATAGGAAAAATTTGATAAATAAGGGCGCCAATCAGGATTGCTGTCCCAGGCAGCGTAACAGCTCTCGGCGGCCCTGAAGACAGCTGCTAAAAATTTTAAAATAACTTTGTTGGCTTTAAATACTAATTTTAGAACTTTTTATTAATTTTTAAAGAAAGGTATTGTGGTACTCATGATCTAGGTTGTTCAAGCTTTTAGAATTAAAAAAAAGTTGGTAGTGCCACTTTAAGGTGGTACATGCCCATAAAATCAATAAATCAGAATAACACAATGCACAACAATTTACTACTTTTTATTTTATTTAAAACAAAATAATTTGAAAAAATTAAATTAAAAAAACGAATGATCGAGACATTTTGCCTCGATTAATAGTAAAAAAAGGGTTATTTTATGACATTTTATAAACATAAAATCTGGAAAACTAAAAGAGTTTGAGACTTCAAACTTTTACCAGTTCTTTATTGTATAGAAATGCAAGATTTGAACCAAAACTAAGTCATAATATAAAATTTTTTAAAAGATATTGATATTTGTTACTCATAGACATTATTTTGTATAGAAAATGCTCATAAAAAGTGCCATAAAATTTTTATTTTTTTGTATGAAACATTAGTTTTGTTTCACTTCCTGCTATTAAAACTAAAGAATGTACTGTGAAAATTTCAACCTAAAAGCTTATGTTGATCTTGAAATATCATGTTTTAAAGTTAACAAAATCGCTTAAAATTAAATATTGAGAAAAACAAAGAAATAAAATTAAACTAACAAAAACATTATGATTTTATTAATATGAACCTGCTGAATAAGCTGGTATTATGTCATTTTCCTTCTCTTTATCCAGGAATCCTTTTCTGATAGCTCTTAATTTTCTTCTCATTTTTATGCCTTTGGTTGATGACTTTCTATGAATGTTCTTTATGCGGTCTGTATCACTTTTTTTAAACCCATTTAGCTTAAACTTTGAAACTGGCAATCCAAGTACAACAATGTTGCCCATATAGATTTTTTTATTTAATAAATTTTACCAATATTTTGCCTAACAACCCTAGCAAAATAATTTTGAAGAGTATTGGTAGCTTTTTCACCGAGTCTACGAGTCTACCTATTCCTGAGACACCTTTTCCATCAGATAACTTTTTGTTTTTATGAGTTATACGAATATTTCTGCAACGAGTACCTACACGTTTTTGAATGTGTCCAATACATTCTAGCTTGGTAATTGGAATCTCTCCATAAAGTTTAGATAATTGTGCTTGATTAATTGATGTAGCATTGCCATCACCAATGTATTCTGTATACATAAGACTATTTTCAGATATGGAACGAGAAAACATTTTAACAGTCCCAATAGCTTCCATAAAACCAGAGCTACATGCATGATTTGCCTGGCAAACATTATTGAGTTTTCAGTTCACATATTGAGGAGATTGTTTTGTATGCTTCCATATTGCACAACTATGACACTTTTTTGAAAGGACGTCATAGTCTAAACACTTTCCGTTATTTGTTGAAATGATAGAGACAATACTGTTTAGCGAGATGTGTCCTCTCTTCTGCCATGAACCATCAACAGAAACTGCACAGGTTATTGTTTCATCACTTTTCTGTTCTCTTATGTTCACTTTGCTGTTTCCATGGCTGCTTTAGTCATAGATGCTTTACAAACAATATTATATACACCATGCAAAACTTTAGTAATACTATTATAGGCTTTTAAAGAAATAGGTAATGGCATATTTAATAATGGTGTAAAAGATTTGATAGCTCTTTGTCCTCTACCAATTTCTCTACCATTTGAACATTGGTTGCAAATAATTTATTGCTACTATATTTAGTGACACTGTTTTTGCTTTGAACATAAGAGATACTCTTTGAAGTTTTAAAAGTTTGATGCTATCGACAAGATCTTGAGGCACATGATAGATTTAGTTCTAAACAAAATCCTTGTCGCCTAATTTCATTATTTTCAACTTTAATATTATTTCCACAGTCAGAGCAACTAGCTATTTCTTCAACTAAAAATTTGAATAAACCAAAATTAATAATAATGTTATAATCATCTTTGTCTGCAAGAGCTATTGGGTTGAACTTTATTTTTCCTGAACTAGAGTTACTTGCTGATTGTAAAGAACCAGATGCAAAGTTTTGTTTATTTGTTAAATGATCTTCTTTTTTTGTGTGTACTGGTTACAAGCAATTGATCTCTTTTTATTTCTAGAATGTGTTCTTGGCATATTATTTATTCAACGTTGTCAATAAAAAAAAGTGTAATAACACATCGATGGTTAAGAGCACAAAGGGAATACGTCCACTAACCATTGTTTTGAGAAATCTGAATTTGAAAGTTTGAAAACATACAATAATTCATGATGTTTATTTAATGTAATGATTTTTAACCAAATGCATTCCTCAATTAATTCTGTCTTGTTTTTTACTATTTTATTTTCATTTCTTTTACATACTTTAATACCTAATTTGTTTAATGCTTACCTAATGTTTAATGTTGGACATTTCCCTTTGTGCTCTTAACCATTGATATAAACAAAGTCTGGATTTGGACGCTTTACAAGACCAAAACTGAATTAAACTGTGATTTTTAAAGTATGACTAATAACTTTAACTTGACAAACAGCTAAAGAATTTATCATCGTCAAAAACTGATCATTAATACAACTTTGAATTCAAGTCAGAGAATGGTTGCTAAGGGCGTTGCTATGTCAGTAAAAATAACTAGTCTTAAAAAAGATGCTTATATCACTATTTATGAATTTTGAAAAAATAACTTTAAAAACGCATTCCTCATAAAATTTTACGTCTAATATGATAATAATTTTTTTCAAAATTTCAATAAATTAAGGGTATGTAACACCTTAATATAAAACTATATGTAAAATAAAAAAACATATACAGCTATTCTAGAACAATAAAAATACTGATTTAAAAAAACAAACTTTAAAAGTAGGCAAAAAAGTATACTTTATCACTGAATCTTATAAAATTCTAGTAAGCGCTTATTTCACAAATCAAAATTGCTTGTCACAATCTAAACAAACTAAGCGTTTACTAAAATTTAATACTTTTTTTTTTTCAGTCAAATATAAATTAAAATGCTATTAATACGTGAATTTAAAAAAAAACTGAATAAAAAAACTGAATTCTATTAAAATAATCTATTAATATAAGCTTTTCGAATACAACGTCAAAAACGGTTCAGGTACCGTTTTTGACGTTATCTAGTGTGATATTTTTTAAGTTGAAAAAATATAATTAATCAAATTACAAGATATGTTAAACATTAAAAAAAATAAAAACTATTATTGATCAGAATAAAAAAGTAAAACAAAAAAAGTCGTTCAACCAGTTTATAATTTGTTCCACAACTTTTCTTAACGTAAAATTAACAATTATTAACGCTAAAGGTTATAACGGGTACTGGAAATAACGCATCTTGTCCAGAGCCCGTTTTCCCCCAAATTAAGCTTAACAAAATAATCAATCTTATGATACAAATTATATATTTCTGGATTGATAGTAATAATATACAATAACATAAACAGAGTCAAAAATGACTAACATGACGACGCGCCTATTATAGCATACAAAATAAGTTAGACAAAAAAATTCGCGCTAATGAATTTTAAAAGCAACAGGAAGAGTACAACTTCATGTTAAAGATTGAATTAACACATTAAAAAATTAAAAAAATTCTTAGCTACATTTTATGAAATCTCTCAATAACAAATATTACTTTAAAACAGAATCTTTATTTATAAGAGGTGATTTACACAGTTTATTTTTTTGATATCTGTTAAATTTGATTTACTTTGCGTTTTTTATTTTTGTTAAAAATAGATTTTACAACCATATTTATCATAATTTCTTGTGTGTGCCGTTTTGCCAAACATAATTTTCTTGTCCGTTTTTTTTTAAACTTTTTACCTACAAACTTTGGCTGTACAAAATGAATTAATTTAGGTGTGAACGTATGTCGCGTTGAATTAACATCTACATTATGGATGATAGATGGCAACTTTTTCCAACTGTAGCAACTCCATTGAGTTCTATATGGGGATTTTTAATACTATTTTCGTGCATTATTAACACCAATCAGCTGTATATTCGAATCCGCTAAAGAGGGCCTTAAAAAAAAAAACTTGCAATCAGTATTTTAACAATAATTTTTTATGGTATGTGTTATCAATGCTAATAAAACAAAAGTATATAGCTTATTAATAACTTTTTATCACCTGTTCCCCTTGAGACAGGCCACGCTTTTCTTTTGCTGGTGTGAGAACAGGATCTTCAGATGTAAACTCCGAATCAAAGTTACTAACGTCCTCAGGATGTTTCTTAAAATAACAAATAAAATATCATTAAAATATATTTTTCTTTCAAAATTAAAAAATGTCAACTTGAAAAACAACAACAAAAAAAAGTCAATAGACCACCAAAATTAATATCAATGCCCGTCAAGATCAGATTTAATGTCATGTCAAAATAGTCGTTAACTTTAAAGACACTTGAGAAGATATCATGTTAATATCAGCCAGTAACTATCAAAAACAACGTTCACAAGTTAAATATAAAAAAAATAAATTCATAAACTTAATGTCAACAACAACAAAAATAAACCTTCGTACTTACCACTGTAGGAATAAATGGCGTTTTTAGTTTTCTTTGTATTAAACTGTCCCACTTCATATCCTGAAAAGGCAATTTAGAACTTTGTAAAATCTAAAAGATCTATGCTGAGAAAATTATTTCTAATTTTCAAAATGTTACCTTGTAAAATGGTTGCTTTTTAATATCTTCTGCATCTTTTATACTTGAACCTAATCTTCTTTCGGGATTTTTACGTAATAACTAATATGATTAAAACAAAATCTGTAAATCTCTATAATGAATAGCCGAATGAATATTATTATTATTATTATTAATAGTGCGCATAGTTACGCGTATTGTTTTATAGTTACGGTACGGTTCTGTATCTGTAAAATACACTTTTTAAGTAGTTTCTTGACTTTTCTTTACCGCGTGCTTTCTTAAAGATTTCCTTTCAACCTTTCATGGTTCACGAGTTCAAAAAAGATTTCACGAGTTCAAAATGTCCATGATTTCACGAGTTCAAAATGTCCAAGTTGATATTAAGTAGATAATGTTTAGTAGCTTAAAATTATAGGTAATCTAAATTTTTTTTTAAATTTAAAAGTAATTAATTTATTGCAATCTTTTTTAAATTGTAATTTTAAATTTAAAGCTTCGTGTTATAGGTTACTTTAATTCTTAGATTGTGTCTAGCGTTAAAATATATTTATGGGTAGTTTCATGCTTTCACATAGTTTTGGTTATTGGGATAAAAGCCATGACAACATTTTGTTATAAATTTATCTTAATTTAATTTTTATTGAAAATTTTGATATAAATAAAATTTATCATTAATATTGTTAATACTTTTGCTCTTTGAAAAAAAATGTTTTTCTGGCTCTTCAATAAATATACAATAATTTGTCTTGCATAAATGAATTTTGGTTTAGGATTTAATTGTGCTATTTATGTTTGTCTATCTGTAATTTATTTAGGTTATTAGAAAATTCATGTTTACAGAGTTGTTATTAATCATAATCGAGTTGTTAAACCAAGGAAATTGTGGAGGTTTATTTATCATATATACTATATATATATATTATATAATTATATTGGAGGGAGTAAGTTTAAAAGCATTTTTAAATTTTTAAAAAGAAATAAAAATACTTTTCAATATATATCTGTTTTCTTTGAGGTAGAATTAAAGTTTCAGTTTTTTAAAATTGAAATTTAAAGTTTCAAGTTTTCAAAATCGTAATCTTTTCAAAATGTCTAAGTAGACATTGAGTATTTATAAAATCTTTTTAAAATTTTATAAGTAATTAGTTTATTGTAATCTTTTTTAAATTGTATCTTTAAATTTAAAGTTTCGTGTTATACATGTGAATTTTGAAAATATAGATTACTATAATTCTTAGATGGTGTCTACCATTAAAAGATATTTATGGGTAGTTTCATGCTTTCAAATTTTTTTTTTTATTTATTTGCATTCACTCCCAACAAGGCTGCAAGCAACCACTATTAAGTTGGGAGTTACTAGGAAAAAAAAAAGAACAGAGTTATAGAGCAAGGAAACGGTTGACAGAAGACTTAAAAAGTTGAAGGTTGTATGAGTCAGGAAAACATGAAGATGGGAGAGAGTTCCAAAGGATTGAAGTGCGGGGAAAAAAACTAGATGAATAAAAGTTTTTAGAGCATGCAGGGACAGATACAGAAAACGAATGAGACTTGAATGAGCTGAATGACGAGTAAAACGAGAATGAATTTTAGTTGATGGAACTAGAGATGATAACTCCTTTGAGCAGTGACCATGATAGTATCTGTAGAAAAGAGAAAGAGATGCAACTTTACGACGATGGGAAAGAGGTTCAAGCTTAGCAGATAGTCCAGGTCCAACAACATTTACAATGCGTTTTTGGACCTTGTCAAGAAGAGAGAGTGAATCGTTAGAAGAACCAGCCCAAATATGACAACAGTATTCCATACAGGGACGAATAAGAGATTTGTAGAGGTAGAGAATGGAATCAGAAGTAAGGAAATGGCGAGCACGATAAAGAGAAGCAACCTTAGCAGAAGCTAATTTAGCAATCGATTGTATATATGGTTTCCATGAAAGGTCAGTAGTAAGCGATAATCCAAGAAGACGTAAAGAGGACTTTTAATTTTTAAAATGCTTTTAATAATTGGGATAAAAGCCATGACAACATTTTGTTATAAATAAAATTTATCTATAGTATTGTGAATACTATAGATAAATTTTTTAGATAAATTTGGCTCTTTGAAAAAAAAATGTTTTTTTTCTTTTCAAAAAGTTTAATAATTTGCCTTGCATGATTGAATTTTGGTTTAGGATATAATTGTGTTATTATATGTTTGTTTTTCTATTTATATCTAATTTATAAAGATTTAATTTATAGTTAAGATAAATATAATTTATTTAATTTAAAATTAAGATATAAAATAAAATATCTAATTTATAAAGATTTAGATCATTAGAAAATTTATATTTACAGGTTGTCATTAATCATAATCAAGTGATTGAACCAAAAAAATTGTAGAGGTTTATTTATCAAATATACTATATATATATTAAAAAAAAAATTTGGTTTTCATATGTTTTCGCTAATATGGTTTCGTTTTTGCTAATATGGTTGCAGGTTTTCCTTAACTTCTATCAAATAAACTTAAGAAACCTGTATTACTTTTGATGATGGCAAATTAATTTTATTTTGCATTAGTTTGGATTCTTTATATATTTGTTTGAAGAATTTTTTTTTTTAATTTTTTGAGTAAGATTTTTTTAGTTATTTAGTTTTTTTATTTTATTGTTAACTTTAGAGTAGTTAAAAAATAAAATAATTAGTGTTGCTTTGATAAATATGTTTAATCAAAATGATGACATTGAAATGAATGATAGGCTAGATGAAGTTATGTATTTACAAAATGATGTAAGTGCTATAAGGCGTGTTGAAAATAGCCATAGACGAAATGAAAGAAATAGACTTAGGCGAGATGAAATTAATCATTTACAAAATAAAAGAAATAGGCTTAATCGAGAAAACGTTAATCGTTGCCAAAACGAAAGAAATAGGCTCGATCGAGATAATGTTAATTGCCGCCAAAATGAAAGAAGAGCTGTTGGACAAGGACGAATGTATTCTATAGCGAGAAGTAATGCTATTCCAGATTATAATTATTCAGGAGAAATGAATCAAATTTGTCAGCTCTGTGGTGCTAAGAAATTTCCAGATGAAACACATTTTCTATGTTGCCATAATGGTAAGGTAGCTTTCTATTTAGACGTTGGTAATAATATTGAAACAAGTAAGTTATAAAGCATTTTTAAATTTTTAAAAAGAAATAAAAATACTTTTCAATATATATCTGTTTTCTTCGAGGTAGATTTAAAATTTCAGGTTTTTAAAATCATATATATTATAATATTAAATTCTTTTTTACTTTAAAAATATCTATATTATAGTTATACTGAGTTGTAGAAAAATAATTAAAGTTTATTAATAAGGTAGTAGATTATTAGAGTAGATTAAATTGTTTGATCTATTTAATCAACTTAATAATGTACTATTAAAGTGAAGATTTATTTCGGTTGTTTGTTTGTTAAAATTTAGTTAAAGTTTATTTAAAATTTAAATTCTTTAGTTAATCAAGAGAGATCTAATAAAGGTATTAATTACATTAGTTAGTTGAATGTGGCATTTAATATGTATTTTATCGATATTTTAATGTCTAAACATTAAAATGCTTTTATTGTTTAGATACAGAAGTGAAGAAGCTAATAAGTCAGTGTTTTTGCTATTAGATATTTGTTAATAGGAATTTGTTTATTTGTACTGCCACTGGAATTTTAAAAAATCAAGTTCTTTAGCTTTATTTTATACTTTCTTTTAGGGGAGTTAAAACAAAAACTAAGTATAAATTATGATTAGTTTAGTTTAATAAATGAAGCATTAATATTTAGAAGATTTAAAGTTTACTTTAGTTTATAGTTTTGGTTTAATTTATAGTTTTGTTTTTAGCTTTAGTTATTTTTTTCTTACTTTAGACAACTTTATGGATGAAATGAGGGGATGGGTAAAACAATTATTTAGATATGTATATATTTATATGTTAACATTATTTTATCGATTATTTTATATTTATTTAAGTATATATTTGTCTTTAGTGTCTGGTGGAAGTATAGCTGGTAGGGCTGTGTTAATTAAATTATAAGTTCGCTAGATTCCTTATCATTCGAAGATTATAAAACTTACCGCTCCCAACACCCGGGACCTCTCTCAGAGAGGTCCTTCAACATATGGAAAGATAATGGCGGAATGGATGAGCCCTCCTTTAAATGGAGGGCTCATCCATACCGGGGTGTTGGGAGACACCGAAGAAAAAACATAAAAGATGTAAATGCAACCAAAAGGTTGTAAATGTCTTCTATCAGTAGAGATATTTATGACTTTTTGGTTGCTGCTTTTTCTTCGGTGTTTTTTTTTTAATTTTGTAATTTTTTTTAAATATATATTATGTTGTATATTTGATTTGTTTTGATTTTTTTTAATGAAAATTTTAATTGTTTTCTCACCAATTAAACCTGACTTTACTGACAAATTTAAAGCCCTCTTAAATACCCCTCCCTAAATTCTAAAGTCATAAGTTGAATTGATTCATTATCCAATTATCATAATATAAAAATGCTGCATTCTTTTGTTAAAAACAATTATTTGGTATGTTTCATTTATTGAACTTTTTACCAAAACAATTATTTGGTATGTTTCATTTATTGAAAATTTACCAAAACCCAAGGCAATGTATTTAGCTATATAAATACAATTTATTTATCTCGATTCGATTCTTCATCTTTTATGTTTATAGTTTGGGTCCTTGAAGCATTTTATGTTTTGCTTTTTTTATTATGAGTATTTTAAATCCGTTGTGATGTCTTTTAAATTAAACTAAAGTTTACTAGAAGCCAACATAAAAATTACGTTTTTGAACAACACCAAAAAAAACAGCTGCATCCCTACAGCAACTGCTGCAGTATCACAATAGGTTACCAAAAGCAGGTATACTGTTTTCCAGTTGTTGTTTTTCTTTCATATATATCTACTTATCTATATAATACTATAGTATGTTTGTTTATATCTCATTCATTTTTTTTTTCTTTATCTTTAAGTGTTAATAATTTTATTCTTTGAATGAGATTAGTTAAACAAGTCGGCTTTCCATTAAAGATATTGGTTTCAAAATTGAACACCATTGGCAAAATGCTTACAAAATTAGGTAGTTTTTAAAAATCTGTTTTCTATTTAATACGCTTTTTTTTAAAATATACTTTTTAAATATACTTTTCTATAACAATCCTACTAATATGGAATCACGTAGCTTTTTAAATATGTTTAATTGTCGTCCTTATCGGTAATAAATATTTTAAATTATTTGATATGGTTTCCTTTACAATAGGCTATGCTTGCCTCCTTGGTGCTGTTAATGGTGGCTTCAACTTTGTTTTTTTTAAGAAAAATGTGTTTTATATATGCTTCTGTTTTAAAATATTTTTGTTACATATTTAATTATATATCATGTAAATAAATTTCTTTTGTAAAAGATATGTAAACTTGATACTTGCTTTTTTACAGATTTTCAAAAAGTGAACAAAGGTTTAAATATATTTTTTAACCGCCTTATATGATTTTATCAATTTTATTAAAGCTGAATAATTACTTCAAAAATATTGAGTAAAATCCAATTGCTTTTATTATTAACCTGATCTATACAAAAATTAATGAAATAAAACTAATAATTTAACGCCAAGTTAAGGCAAAATGTATTCCGGACATTTTATAAAATTAGTATAAATATGGATTGGATGTATGCTGAAATAAATATGTTGATACATGTTAGCTATTAAAGTAAATCCATATATTCCTTTATTGTTTTTTTAAAAACAAGTTTCTGCTGGATTACTAATTAAAAAAAAGGTTGGTTTTATAATAATCTTTATCATAATAATATTGGATCCGTATGCAGGGCTAAGCCCTTTTCGGAATTGCGATATATTTTTCAACTTATAGTTTTTCCGGATATCCAACTTCTATGCCTACAAGTTTGGGTGTAATATTTTAGATGTTTTAAAAATATTTAAAAAGTATATTAATAACATTGAAAAGTTTTGGTGCGATAGTGACATATTTTTAAGCTCTTCACTCAGTAAAATAAAGTTTAAAAAAAAAAAAAACGACTCAGCTTAAAGCAATATTAAGAGTAGAATATATTCCCAATATTTACCTAAACAATTTTACGGAATTTGAAAATTTGACATCGATATTCTGTGCATATAATTCAAGTCATTTTTAACTACTACATGGTTGTGATTTGCGCATTTAATGTCTGAACATTGCAAAAGAAATGGTTAACTTTATCTTTAATGAAGCTAAGAGTTCTCTTAAACTAAGAAGCCAAGAAAAATAAAAATGAGCTCAACTAAAAAAATGTATAAATAAATTTATATTTCATTAGAGAAAGTAAATAAAGATCAAATTGTTAATAATGATTTATTTACTACTAACCCGTAATACGGGTTGCTTTCTGTATAAATAAATTTATATTTTATTAGAGAAAGTAAATAAATATCAAACTGTTGGTAATGATTTATTTACTACTAACAGGTATTACGGGTTGCTTACTGCTAGTATATATTAATGTACAATTAAACTTATGTAATTCTAATTATCAAAATATCTCAAAATATGTTTGAATTACAAGAATTTTTGAATTATAAGAGTTCGATCCTAAATATTAAACCCTGAAGGTTCTGGAGAATTTGTTCAATTTAATCGATCTTTCTAAATAGGGTGGAGCGATTTTAAAAATTTTTGAAATTTGATTTGCCTGAGCTGCGAATCGATGTCTTTTGGTGAAAAAAGAACCTTACTTTTTTTTTAGATGATTTTTTGAGGTTCCTTTTTGGATTCTAAATTTATGACGGATCCTAATATTGTTGAATTTTTTTTTCTTCTAAACCTGGTACTCAAAAGAAGCATAATAATATGCTGATTTTGAAAATAATATTCGTTTTAATTTAAAACTTAAGAGAAAAAAGAAAGTGTTGATTTTTTCATAAAAAACCCTGTCTTCATCAAAACATCAAAAAATTTGTTTTAAGGTATTTTTTTGCAAATATTTTTTTCACTAAAAATTTTTTATTTATTAAAATTACTATTGATAAAACAAGCATTTTTTTCTACTTTTTTTGAGTCCAAGGTTAATATAGTTTAGAAAAAAAAAATTAAAAAATATTAAGATCAGTCAAGAATTTAGAATCCAAAGAGGAACCTCAAGATCTCATCAAAATCAAAAAATATTTTTTTACTTTCATCTTATAATTAATCGATTCGTGTCTCAGGAATATTGATTTTTAAATTTTTTTATTTTTGCTATGAAAATTGCTCCACCCTATTTCTGAATTATAGGAGTTCGAATTACAAGAGTTCAACAGTAAATATACACATATATACATGGATCCATACATATATATATTTACATACATACATAAATACATACATGCATGATTACTTACATATATACATACACACATATATATTTACTTATAACAATCAATAAAAAATTATATATATACTTTCAAAAAAAGATCTGGCTCTATACTTAAAACTTTTAATTGGTTGTAACAAGTAAACCTGTTAAATTTTTATAAAATATAATTGAGTTTAGGGAGGCTACCTCAAGTCTGAATTTTTTAACGTGACTGTAAATGCCGAAAAAGAAAAAAAAATTTTTTATAGTATGTCATGTTGGCTTTTGTGTACTCTAACTTTTAGAAAGTGCACCTTAAATTTTCAGAAAAGAAAAAAAGTGTGTATGTGTGTGTGTATATATGAAAGTTTAAATTTAAAAAATTTTTTGGTTTGTCTAAATATAGTATAAATACATATTTTTACCCTTCTCATTAAAGCAATAGAATCATTTGATAAGAATCTAGGGTATCTAACTTCATCATTAACAATACTATCAAAAACTTCTTCTTCATCATCACCTGGAAATGGACTCTGGTAAGAAAAAAAAAACTTATTTACACTTAGCAAGTGACAATAAGATTACCAAACAATATTTGAAGTAACTTTGTAAAAATAATTACCTCTCCTACTAACATTTCAAATATCAATACACCTAGTCCCCACCAATCTACTGCTCGAGTATATGATGTTTCTGTTAGTACCTTCAAATATATAAAAATAATATTATGTTATAACATTAAAAAATCTTTTTGACTATATATATACATATACATCACTAATAAGTGATGTACCGACTAATCGGAATTTGCGTATTTTTTATAAATCTACCTATTTTCCAACCGATGGCATTTTAAAATTTTTATCCTACATTATGGTAATAATTAAATAATAAATAAAATAAACTTTATGCATTAGTTAGAATTGTTTTGAGAAATTTTTTATTTTGACTTTGTTTACAGTCAAACTTGTTTATTCTTAAGTTGATGTTTATAAGCTTTAATTTAACAGCAAAATGTACTTTTATTACCATAATGTTATTTTTAGAATAATTTTATTTTCTGTTGTTTTATTGCCATACTTAAAAGAAAGGCTATTTAAGCATTGCTATCTATGTGTTCAAGAATAGCCTTCTATATTTCTATATGATTGTTGTTTAGATATCTAAATTACTAATAAATCAATAAAGAGTTCAAAGTAAACTGCTTATCTTAGTATCATTTTTTAAAATTGAAATAAAAAGCGTTTTTTGAAAGTTTTTTTTTCATAGTAAAAAAAAAAAAAAAAACAACTAAAAAATGTATACTTTTGAGCTCTGATTTGGGTCAAAGCATTTGTGAGCTCTGATTTGGGTCAAAGTATTGTTACTTACACAGTTTAAAGTTGTATGGTTTTATATTTTTAAAATTTTAATAATTAGTTAATTCATCAGTATTGGCATCGGTATCGGCTTTTTCCCATCTATCAGCATTGGCCGCAAATGTGCTATTATATATTGTGCACTAGTATATATTATCAAACTATCATTACATTAAAAATACTTCTTATGAATTTCTATGAACATATTTTAAAATAATTTTTGGAACTGAAATTTTGCTGAATATTTTATTGTAATCATTAAAGACCTGCACAATGTAATAGCTGAGTAACACATAAAGTTTTTTGCAAATTTCCCTGAAAGATCGATGAGGGTTTTCGGAGATATTCTCTTAGTTATTTTGTTTGTTTTAGAAGCTCATACAATTATAATTATTATAATTATTTATATCAAACTTATTGTAAAATAGAAATAAAAAATTTACATATTTTTATGTTTTTTATGTTTTCTGTTTATTCTATAATTATTGTTTAAAGAAAAGGTAAAGATTTACCATTAACGATACTATCATGCTCAACATATTACTACAATGAGCAACCAGTTAAATAAGTTTAATACACAAGTCAGTTTTGTGTTTTAGAGTTATAAAATAAAAAGTCCATAAAAATAATGAGAAAAAAACTGTAGCTCCTTGCCATAAGTAGCATAAATATGTTTAAAAAAGCTAAACATGTTTTAACATAAAATACAATTAAAATACAATTTTACACCTAACTACTTAACAATAAATATATAAGTTGAAATTATGAAACAAATGGCCACACTCTAAATTAAAAAAGAAAAGATTCAACCTCTAATTAAGATTTTAAAAAAGTAATTCTTTTAATGTAATAGCCTATTGGTCATTAGGAAGTGAAATTAATAAATATTATGAAACACGTGTTGATATTTTAAAATAATAAAAAAATTTACTTTAAAAGTTCAAATAAATTTAAAAGGATTAGAATATTAATGGGGTAACAATTAAATTTCAAAAAAAAAATATTTCTAAAATTCTGAAACTATTTGATTAAAAAAACTTACTTCAGGAGCTAAAAACTCTGGTGTGCCGCAAAAAGTACCAGTCTTCTGACCAAAACCCATGCCTTCTTTACAAAGACCAAAATCAGCTATTTTAACATATCCTTCAGCATCAAGTAATAAATTATCTAATTTTAAATCTCTATAAACAATGTCATGTTCATGCAAATACTGTAATCCAAGAATAACACATCCAGAATAAAAAATTGTTCGTGGTTCACTGAATACTTCTTCGTGTATATGCATCATTAAATCTCCTCCAGGAGCATATTCCATAACAAAACAAACATGATCCTATCAGCATACGCAAATTTCAATCACAATATAATATATTTAACCTTTGATAAATTAAAAAAAAATAAAAAATTACCTTTGTTTGAAAACATGAAAACAAATTTACAAGAAACGGATGACGAACACTGTTGGCAGTCTCAAAGATTCTTTTTTCTGACATCAAACTACATAACAAACATATTTAAAAATTTTTTTTATAAATTTTAAAATAAAGATGTCTAATAAGTAATCGAAATACTATTGTTACCTATCAACTTCATCTCTTGATATAATATCACCTTTCTTCAAAGCCTTTATAGCAAATAACTCTTTTGTTGTTTTATATTCAGCTAGTAAGACCTTTTAAAAAAATAGGTTCGTTCTCATTTTTCAAATATTAATGGAGTAACAATTAAATTTCAAAAAACAAAATATTTCTAAAATCCTTACAAATATTATACTACAATATACAAAAAGATCTAATGATCTTATAAAGCTAAAAGAAGAATCAACCTCATAAAAAAAAATTGAATAAAGATAAAAAATATAATACTTTTCCAAAATGACCACGACCAAGGACACTAATGCATCGAAAGTTTTCCATAGACAGCCCAGAGTGTTTGTTTTTACTGTAATAATAAATAGTTACTATTATTAATAAAATATAATACAAAATATAAATATAAATTCTTTGTATTATAAAATTATCAGTTAAGTAAAATTTGAAACTGATTGGTTACTTATAAAAAATTAAAATTGGAGACAAATAATTTGAATACATAAATATTCATTATAAACATTTGCAAACACTTGTTAAAACATATCTTAATATTATGCATGAACAATTTTTGCTCATATTACATTTTTGAAAATAATTTAAATTTTGAATAAAAATTTAAAGAGTCATTATAAATAAAGATTTAGAGAGTAATTTAAAATTGCAACATTGTTGTTACTGGTAGTACAGGTTTTGTAATGAAGCTTATAATGTTTTAACTGAGACATAACTACTTACCATTTAATTTAAAGATTAAAAATCAAAACTTTTTTTAAGTAGAGAGGTGTAGAGAACTTAAACCTGAAAGCAGAGACCACCATTACAGTTTAACTTCTAAACTTTAGAAAAATTAACCTAATTAAACCTAATTAACCTCTGAATAGCAGTCAGTATTTATATATATAAATGAATTTATTTTTGTTTGTATATTTTATATTCATTTCTATACCATTCACCCAATCTTGACCAGGTTGACGTAGAAAATTTATAGAGCCATGGGAAACCAATACAAATTCATTTTTTTTTTTAAATACAGGAAACTGAGGATACCAAGATAAATTTTTTCCATTTATTAATAAAAACCATATTTTTTTAACAAATAAAACAACAATACATGTTTTGACTATTTTTATAGTCATCTTCAGTTGGGTTTAAAAAACTTATTTAATTTCATACATAAATATAATTAAGGTAATAATAAAAAACTACTTTACACTTCTTTTTGGTAATACATCTGTTCAAAACAAAAATTTTTACCATTAAAAAAACATTGTAAACCTATCCCCTTTAAATTAATTTTTATCTCTTTCAAAAAATCGTTGTTTCGAACATGGAACTTCTTGCTTACAAAACAATCAGTTAATTATTACATCACATATTTAAGACTGGTCAACTATAAGATTCTTAATAGTAATTTTATAGAAGCAAGTTTTGCAAACAGGAATTGCGCTGTGACAAGATATATAGTTTTTGTAGATATATTTCTATATATCTACAAAATCAATGACATTTTTTAATAACAAGTTTTCATTTAAATTATATTTCTCATTAAAATCAAACAAACTGTAGAATTTAAATCCTTTTTTTAATACACTTATACAAAATTATTGATCTCAAAAGTTGATTTGCTTCATAAAGAAATATCATAAAACAAGTTTCAAGTAATTTGAACTCGCAGAAAAAATATATATATATCAAAAAATAACTAAAACTAAATGTAATTATATAAATTATAATACTTTGTGGAAATTGGAGCTTAAACTTAACGTTTACTTAAAAGAAAAAAACAACTTCTAATGACACAAATTTTTTTAAACAATTTTGAAATGCATTTTTTTCAAAATTGACCTATTAACACTATAAAAAGAAAATAATACTTTGCAATAATAATATTTTTTACCGTTGTATTGGAGGTGAACGACCAGCTGATTTTCTTCCTGAAGTTCTTCTTGAATCAAGTCTTGGTGATAACTGACCATTTGGAGGAACAATAGATATTCGAATGTCATTAGAATTTTGTTCTGGTCTCTGTTCAAATGTAGGTGTAGTGTAACCTTGAACAGGTGGAGGAGGTTTAATTTCTTCTTTTAAATTCTTAAAAAGTGAATTCTTACAATTTAAAAATGAATTATTTATCTTTTAAACAAATGTTTTAATTTTGTAACTTAAAGTTTAATAATAAAAAAAAATACTTTTTAACAAAAATGATGTTATCTTAACTTCCAGATTTAAAGAAAAATGAATTAAGAAAATTCATAATCAAAGAAATTAATCTTATATTTTAAACAAACATTTAAAACCACAAAATGTATTTTACCTCTACTTTTTGAATTGCATTTTGACTTTTACTTAGATTATCATCAGAACTGTATTTTAAAGCATCGTTTATTTCAAGTTGATTAACCTCACGATATAAAAGATTATTGGACTGATTTGGAGAAGAAGATGTTATTAAAGTAGGTTCAGAAGTACTAAAAATAATTTTTTGTGATTATTAAATTTGTAAATAAATACAATTTAAAAAACAATAAATCTTTTTTGCTAAAAAAAACTTTTTAAAAAAAAAAACAAACAAAAAAAAAAACTTTCTGGCTAAAAAAAAAAAGAAATTAAAAAAAAAAATTATCTCTCTTGCTAAAAAAATCCCTTTTACCTCAAATTATTATTAGTTATTGTGACAGTAGTATTATGGGCGTTAGGACTATAAGAAGATGTTGCAGGAGGAACTGCTATTTTCAATAATCTTGCCCATGTTGCAATATTGGTATTCATTTCTCCAGCTCGCAGAAAATGTTTACCTAATTATAAAAAAATATATATAAATATATTATATATATATATATATATATATATATATATATATATATATATATATATATATATATATTTTATATATATCTATATATAAAATCTGAATATAGACTCTTAGTCCAACACAATAAGACTCATGCTTACATATGTATTTATGCAATTAGGCTTTTAGCTACTAAATTATTTTACAATTTATACACTTGATATTTTATATTCTATAATAAAACATAATTAAACATGTAAAATACAACTACATTATTGTACAATGTGCAGTGCACTGTTTACATAAAATATTTTTAATAATAACAGAAAAGTAACAAGTTTCTTGCACTGTAAAAAAAAAAAAAAAAAAAAGCATCAATAAAAAATGAAGCAATTCATTGCAATATGGCTTGTAATAATACAATTTGCTATGCAGTAAATACCTTGACCAAGACTCCAAGCTTCAAGACCAAGACAGTTAAATATGAGTTTCAAAACCAAGAATCAAAAACTAAATGTCTGGCACAAACAAGGACACTTTCCATGTGCAACAATACACAGTTAATACTTTAATATTGCTAGAATTAGTCTCTCTGAGAGTTATCTCATAGTTTAGAAAACCTTATTAAAGGCACCCAGCCTCAGAATCATTAAACAGAATTTTAGAGCTGTACCCTTATTAGGAGATAACAGAAAGAGTTGTATAGTCACTACAAAGAAAGTAAAAGCCAAAGCCCATGAGTGTAATTAAGAAGATCAAACATTTATCATCCTTGGGAAATAACAATCTAACTCAGGTTTACATATATGTTGCATATTAAACAAAGAAAATGCCTGATACAGGGAATGGCTATAAGTTTCTTAAATTTCTTTTTTAAAGTTTTCAAAACAAACAAAAAACCTAAGGCTATTTTGTTTATTGGTAGAATTTGCAATTATTTTTTCTTTAATATTTTTAGCTATAGTTTTCAACTTTTACATTCCACAACTTGAAAGTACATTCAAGTAATCAATTTTTAACCTATTTTGAAGATCAGGAGTTTTGGCTTTTTGCTTTGTTTGGTAAATAACTGATATGGTGACACAAGTTATTTTATTTTTTATTGTTTGTGATACCATGTAAATGATGTCTTACACCATTAATTATTTAAATTATTTAACAATTAAAATGTTACCTTTAGCTTTAGGAAACAATTGTTTTTGTCTTTGCAACTTTGACCTTCGATTCACCATAGGGTTAAAAAAAGTTACCTAAAAAATAATATAAAATTTTATAATAATCAGTTTATATAAATTTGTAAAGATTTAAAAATCTTTGTAAAATTTTTGTAAAATTTTTACACTAGTAATATTGTAAAACCTTTTTTTTTTTTTTAAAAGAAGAAAAAAAAAATGACTAGACTGATTCAAGATAATAAGTTATATATCAACAACCAATAGGCTTAAATATAAGCCTATTGGTATAAATTGAAATTCTCTTTTGGTCAAAAACCAGGTTACACACCACAATACAAAAAATATACAAAAACCAGGTTATGTATCACAATACAAAAAAGTAGAAGGCTGACTTTTAAACCTTGAAGATTTAAAAGCTAAAAACACAATTTATTCAGATGAATACAGCATAGATTTTTTTTATGAACAGGTAAAATAAGGATGATGAACTAATTGCAAAAAATATATATTAGCATTTATATATAGAGTGTATAAACGATATGGTTTAGCAAAAGTTGAGTAAAAGAAATAGCTATCTTTACTAATATTCATAAAAATGACTAAAAAAAATACTAAAAAATAATCTCAAAAGAAAAAGCAGCTGAAAATAACTATTTAAAGGTTGCCAATCAACATTGATCAACTGAAATAAAAAAAATAAGATTAAAATAGGCAATCAAGTTTTCAGTAAATTTTTACTTAATTTTTATATGCATAATTATTTATGCAATACATTTTTTATTTTTGTGCAATATATTATCTGGCTTATTATATTTTTATATTATCTGGCTTATTATATCATTATATTATCTGGCTTATTATATTATTATATTATACAATTCATTTAGGCAATCAATATTAAGTTATTAACATAAATTATAACTATTAAGTTATTAATATAAATTACAACTTTTAAGTTATTTATATAAACTATTTATATAAATTATTTATATATATTATTTATATAAACTATATTAATTATAACTATAAGTTATCAATATAAATTATAACTATTAAGTTTTTAATATTAAATTATAAATATTCCTTTTGTACATAAGCATTTTTCGACCCATCTTTTTATAATAAAGTGTTTATTTACTCATGTTTTTATTTTATTTGTATTATTTAGAACTTTTTATCTTCTTTCTGTCAAATCATATCATTGAAAAAAATTGTTTCATTTTTAAAATTCTAAAATTTAAATAAATTGTTTTCATCTTTTAAAATTCTAAAATTTAAATAAATTGTTTTCATCTTTTAAAATCTGAAAACCATTTTTAGTCTCTAACAGCAGAAAACACGTTGATATATTTTTAGTCTCTAGATTCAGAACAACAAACAGCAGAAAACACGTTGATATATTTTTAGTCTCTAGATTCAGAACAACAAACAGCAGAAAACACGTTGATATATAGATCCACCCAAAAATGTTGCTTGTTTTAAAAAAAACTGTGCATCATTCTATCTTAAAACTAATCAAACCTAATTATCTCGTAATTTTTCTTCCAGATAAAACATTTTCTATGTGTTAGATCCTGTTTTTTATATCCTATTTTGAAGGTTTTCGATAAAAATCTCTCTTTAAATGTCTGTACCATTTTGAATAAAAAATATATTTAAGAATTTGCTTAGAAAGCTTATAATTAAAATTTAGAGATCTGTTTTAACCACCTCTAACATACAAAGAAATAAAACTACTACCTAAAACCTTTCTTCTGAAAAACTGATAAATGTTGATTAGACCCACATTACCTCACCCTACTCTAATATAAAAAAATAATTTCTTCAACATATAACTAACTGATATAATCTAAAGTGTTGTAATTTAATCTTAATAATTGTAAACCAACTTTGAAAAATTATTTTATAACTGCTAAGACAACAAATTCTTAAAAAAATACAAACCAGTTCTTCTTTTGTCAAATGAGTTTCTTTGACAATCTCAGGAAATTCATTACGAAATAGCTCAAAGTAATAGTCTGCAAGCTTTTCATCATATACATCACTCTCACATTCATCTTCAATACCATCATCTTCTGGTAGATTGCTACCATCTTCAGAACCTGAACTATTATTTAAACTATCTTCTATAAAATCATTATTGGTATCGTCTGATAAAATACTTTCATCGGAAATATTGCGTTTTATTAAAACAAGTTTTTTCTTCATAGTAAATGATTTTGAGCGACTGCGAGAAGGTTGTAATTTAAAGCTTTTCTGGCGCACTTTACGGCGAGGCATTACTATTGCAATTGGTTTTTCAGTAACAATTTTTTTCTCTGGTAATAACCCACCACGATAAGCAACTGGTTTCACACATTTTGTATTCTTATTTAGAAATACAGAATTTGGCTGAAACTGTTGTGAAAGGACACTTGCTCTCCCAGTTCTATTCGTAGAAGAAGAAATAAGTGAACTACGAGATTTATTGTTTAAGTCAGATTTTTTTTGTTCATAAGGTTTAGAACTTTTTATAAAATTATTAACTACAGGTTTTGGATATGTCAAGATTGATCGTTTGACATCAAGAGTTTTCTGGCCTGATATTTGGCCAGAGGAAACTCTTTGAGTGGTCTTAGGAACACTTGTTACTTTTTTAAATTCGGGACACTCTTCAATACATCTTGCATGAATAAATGCTTTATTGACAAATTTAGAATGAAGTGGACAATGCACAGTTCTATGATGAACTGCAATTTTACTTTTTTCACTATCACAGTCAGATGTAACTGAAGATTGGTCTGATACATTTAATGATTTTGCATTATTAACACAAGGTTTTCTATTGATAATAGGTTCTACTAAAGAGATATTTTTTAATGAATCACTTTCTTTTTTATTTAAATATTTATCACGTATGCTTTTGTTTAGTTCGGAAACATATGTTGCATGTCTTGTAGGCTTACGACTTGACTTTGTTTTTTTTATAGTACAATTATTTTTTTCTTTGTCTTCAATAACTATTTCATCACAGAGAACTTTTTTTACACTTGTAGTTTGAAACTTACTTCTTGGTCTAACATTGTTTGCCTCTGCAACTTTGTTCAATTTATTAGAATAGCTCAGTGGCTTCTGTTGAGAAAGAGGTGCTTTAGGAAGTGTGTTTCTTTTGTGATTGACTTTAGAAAGTGAACTTGAAATAATACTTTCCTCTTTGGTATTTTTAGCCCTAACTTCTGGAGAAGATCTTTCATTAAGTTTAATTCTGTTCAACCTAAGTTTATTATCTTGGCAATTTACTGTGCTAATTGGCTTTTGATTATTTGTTTCTGCAACAACTATTTTCAATGGAGTACTGCTTATTCTCTGAAAAGGTATTTGTTTATTAGAGCTTTTTATTAATGGACTAGATGTGTTTCGAAAAGCCTTTGTTGGTACATTTTTCAACACCTTGTCAGAAAAATCAGCCATTTACTAATGCAGTGAAGTCTTTCATAATATTGATATTATTCCTATTCTTTAAAAAATGGGAATTTTAAAATCCATAATCAATAATTGGTAATAAAACTATTTTTTTTAAATACACTCCAAAAAATTATTAAAGATGTTTTGCTAAAATTCAAATTAACTATCATTCAGCAAGAACTGTCTTGAAAGCAGCAGCATAAAACTTGAACACTTTCTGAATATTAAACTACTCAGTGCTAAAAAAACAGTGGGATTTTTTATTCTTTTTTTTTTTTTTTTTTACAAAACAAAAATTCTTCTATACTATTTTTTAACTTAAATAAAACATATAACAAGGTTGTCTATAACATTGATATTATAAATCTGAATAACTATTATAAATTTTTAATGTAAAGCATTCTAAATAATTTACTAGATTTTGTAGAATATGGCTAGTAAAAAATATGTTTATCTCATAATTAAGTTAGTTGATTTGAATAATAATTGATTGTATACATAATATGTTTTCATCATTTGTTTCATTTACAGAATATCAATAGATAGTTTAACAATTATTTAAATGTTTGAAAAATTCAATGTAAGATTACAAATATAATATTAATATAAAAATATAATATAATATTAATATAAAAAATAATAACACTGTTAGCACAAACAACTGATCAGGTATACATAACAACACACACACACATTCATACAATTATTTCTTTATGCTAACAATGTGTAGAAATAAATTATATATTTATGTAAGTATATAAATATATGTACTTTCATAAGAAAAAGAGAGTAAAAAATGAGTTATAATAACATACCACACATCTCAATGTGCCAATAGGTTCAAGGCTAAGGCATAACTCATGTCTTTGATTATCTAAGAATTCAACTAACTTTAAAAATGTAATACCACATAATGATCGATAATCTCTATAATAAATGCCAATTTCCAGTTCTCTAGACTGAAAAGTAAACTTGTTTTAAGAAACTCTTTATCAAATAATTAATAAAGATAAAAATAATATAATATACAAATAATAAACAACAATAAAAATAGCTGTTATAAATATACTAAAAGTTTCTTTATGAAAAGTTTAAAAAGGTGAAAAATTAAAAAAAAAAAAAAAAAAAAACCTTTTCTAATGGGATATTGAAGGTCTCATTCCAACAATGTACAGCTATAGGTTTCCATTTTGACTGACCAACTCCAACATTGTCTAATTTTAGGACTGCACTAATTTCACCTGAAGTATTTACTAAACATTATATTCGTTTTTGTGAGTCTAACTAAATTTTAGGTATTTTTAGGTAAAAAAAAATTGAAAAAAAAAAAAAGAAAAAAAGAATTATAAGAAAACTAAAAAATACACTATAATTAAAAAAAAAAAAAAAAAAAAAAAAAAAAAAAAAAAAAAACTCATAAGAAAACAATTTTACATCAAGTTAAAATACTAAATAATTCATGTATATAATTACCTTAACTTCATTTATATAGTTACCATAAAAGTAACTTAAATATATCAATTATCTTTATAAGTGAATTAGTTTACTTTTTTTATATTTACCCAAATTGGGCAAAGAATAACTTTTTTAAATCTAAAATAAAAATAAATTTTCTTACCAACAGAACTATCTTCTAAGACTTGCTTACTAGAATGGTACACACTACTGCTCACTCGCTTGCTCAATCGAAATTTAGCATCAGGACTAGCAACTGTACTGCTTATTTTGCGAGGATCGCGATTAGGCACTAATTCTAACAGCCCTTCAGCTCCTAAAACTGTTACCTATCAAAAAAAAAATTTTGAACTCTATAAAACTAAAACAAAACAATCTGGTGAAGTGTTTGTATTAATTTATCGTCTAAATATAATTATCTCTGTACATATTAATAGATCAAACTATATTTAGATGCAGTTAGATTTAAAATTGCTTTTGTACTAAATTGATTTTTATGCAATTTGTATAAACATTTTATACAATTAAATTATAAATATGATCTAGCATGGCTATTCATAATCTGTCATACCGAGTTTGATGTTTATGGTTGTTCCAATGAAAATCTAAAATCCAATAAGTATATCCACATAGGGTTGAGTAACTCTGCAAAATTTTAGAATCAATTAATTTGATCAGGAGTGTTATGTAGCTTTAAATATTTTCATGAAAAACACCCTTAAAGTCATACTATATTTATTTCATTTAAAGATGAGAAGGTGTTCTTGATTGTACATAAGGTGTTCTTGATGAGAATGCCAATCAAGAACACCCAAAAACTGTTTAATATTTTGCACAATCTTATAATTAACATATAATTTCATATTCAACACCTAACTTAAAAAATTGATTTTAAGCACATAAGGTGTTCTTGATTGGCAGGGCAGAACTACAAATAATTACAAATTTTCAAAAAAATGATTTAAATAGAATTAAACTCTTTCTTAAAGGAATTTAACTTTTTATTACTTCCTAAATTTAAAAAAAAAAAAAAACTAGTGCTTATACTTTTATGTTAATGTTGAGCTTGCTAGGATAAAAAATTTAAAAAGTTAATTTATTTAAAAGTTTTTAAAACCTTTTTAATAGTTGTTGTTTTGAAGACTTTTTCCTATTTTGAATCTAAAAATATATTATATATATTAACAATATATTTTTTTTAGACATTTCCCGTTTTGGATAATTATTTCTGTTAATTTAAATTAACTTCCATATTTTTATTAACCAGTATAATTAAAAATCAAAGAAACAGAACTTTTGAGGAAGTAATAAAAATTAATTCATAAATAGTAATACATTAGGAAATATACCTTGTAACTTGTTAGAAATTATGCTTTTTTAAAAATACTTTAAATATTAAAGCTAAATAAAAAATTGAATCAAAATGACAAATTTTTTATGACCTGAGCTGTTAGATCTTAACAACTTATTGCATTTTGACTCAACCAAGCAGCAATTGGCAATATTTTCTAGAAACTCCAGGTAACAGATTTTCAAGTCTGTAAGAATGCTTTTTATATTAAATCATAAAAATTAAAAAAAACAAAACAAAAGGAAAGTAATGAGACATCTAGGCCTAACAGAAAACTCTAAAATTATTCAAGGATTCAATAGCTCATAACAATGGAGTTTATACTAATTAATCATTAAAATTTTTCAGGATCCTTAAAAAAATATTTAAGCATTGATTTAATCAACACAGACAATTTTGGACTCAAACTTCTGTACAATCTTAACGTTGGTAACTTTTGATGTAGAATTTAATAACATTCACTCCTTTTAATAATGGAGTTTAAGAAACATTTAAAAATCTGGAGTTGAATCACAACATGTTTGTTGCTGTTGTATCAACTAAAAGCAAAACCAAGGATTTCAAAAAAGTGATCAAAACTTTCTTGATTATGGCTGAATTCTCTTAACAGATTTGATCATGTCAATTGAGCTCCATCTTCTTTTTGGAGTTGTTAACCATCTTTTCGAGAGCTTCTACAGACTTTTTTTTTCAACTGCACTTCCAACATGGCTACTGTTTAAATTAGAAGTTCAGTATTTAAATTAGGAGTATAACAAAGATAAACCTTAACAGATGCTGAATATGCAATGGATAGTGTATATCTACAAAAGATAGGTAATGAATGATAATCAGTAAAGACATAAAGTAGAGAGCTCAGGAAGAGTGATGCAATACAATCAACAATATTTAAAATAGTTGTAAACAACTATTTTTTTTTGTTTGGGTTCAAATTAACCAGCTGCAAGCCAAAACCTGTCACAAGAGAGATCCCATGTAAAATTCAGCCGTTTTATGGTGATCAACTTGCAGGGAATGAGTACAGTATCGTATTAAAAAATATTGACATACTTCAAATAATGGCAGAAAAATCCTATGCATTTAAAGTTATAGGCTTTGTTAAAATATTCTGCCTTTTCATAAAAGTTACTTTATGTTTGAGACTAAATTAAGATGACAGATTTCTAGAAAAATCTAACAATCCAAGCTACCATGTTGTTTATGACCATGCTTCAGAACTCATGACACTTCCCTTTGGATTATTCAGTAAACAGCCACAGAAGCATTCAATATTTAAAGGAAAAGATAAAATGAAACAATACTCATCCTGATTATGGATCCAAGTTTTTGCAACACAATGTCAACTTAAACAGCAATAATGTGTAAAGCAATTGAAGTAACTTTTAAAATATTAAAAAAATTAAACTTTACCTAATGTTGCAGTAGAAACATTTATTTTAATACTTTTCTCTTTTTGGTTTCATTATTTATAAAAACTTTGTGTTAAAGTATTAAAATCTTTCTAATTAAAGATATTTTTCATCAAAGTCTTACAAATAAGAAACCTCCTTTGAACAAATTAAAAGATTTCGAAATTTTGTCAAATTAACCTACCATATGTATATACTCATACCTCTAGAAGGTTTTCTTGAGAATTGCTGGAAATATTAACTTAGAAAGACACTTGAATCTTAATAGCAATTGTTATTTCAGTTAATGAATATTTATAACTATATAAAAATACTTTTTTTATTATTATTTAAATAAAACATAAAAAAACACTTTTTTTATAATTTCTTTTGTTACCCAAACCATATATGCTGAACTGTTATACACATGCTGAGGATTGAAATGGACAAACTAGTTATCTAACTAAACTATCTTTTTTTATTTTAATAGCCTGTAAACTTTAGCTATTGTTTTAGCTGTTGTCGTGGTTGTTTCAATAGTGCAAATATTTTTTAAAATTTTTTTTTCCTGGTTGTTTTTTTATTTTTTTTTATGTTTTGGAAATAACAATCATGCCAACTCCTCATAGACCTAAATATAAATGTTCTCGCAATCTAAAACATAATAAAAACAATTCTCAACACCCTAAACATAATAACAATTGTCAACCCCCTAAACATAAACATAATCTCATATCAACCCCCTAAACTTAATCATTGGTTACACCTCTAAACCAAATTCTTAAAAAAAATTCAAACTGCAATTAAATATTGTATACTTGATATCTAATCCATCTTTCAAATTAATTTAATTTTGTCAATTAACACTAAATTTTTATATATAGATATAAAAAAAAACATAATTCAAAATAAAAACATAGATTTATATACAAACAAAATGTAATACCTCTAATGTTCCTGTTAAACCAGCAATTTTAGACCTCTTACTAGATGAAAAAGGTAAAAGCTTTTCATTGAAAATTCCAACCTGTGCTGCAGCTGGATCAATTTCAGCCATTCTTCTCTCAAGAGACATATGAAGAAGATCAAGTTTATTAGTAGCCTCAACCAGCGTCTTTTCTGTCTAAAAACATAAAGCAAAATATACCAAAATATAAATAAAAGAGATTAATTTGTGAAAACCAGTCCCTTTAAAATACTTTTAAATTTATCAAAACCAGTTTGCATTTGAATCAAAAACCATTTTTAAATTTCTGATTTTACAGTTTTTTAGTTTTTAAAAAAAAAACTAAAAAAATGTAAAGACCACCCTTCTTACACTCACTCTTACACTTCTTACACTCACTCTAGAGAGCTGTATAGTATAAAGAAATTCAGCAGTATTTTTAATCTTCAAAAAGATCTGTAACAAACCAGAGAATTAAAAAAATATAATGGAATATTATTAAAACTTTCTCAAATATCTGGCAGAAAAATAAACTGAGGGAGTTTTATCAGCAATTTCATGAATTTTATCAATGTGATGGTTCAAGGATTGTCCAGATAGAAAAAAGAGTTTTTATAAGTTAAATTAGATAGTATAAAGCAACAAATCTAAAAACAATTTTTTTAGTCAATATTAATACTATAAATATATTAATACAAAAAACAGCAAAATAGAACGGCTCTCGGTTTTTAGTCTTTTTTTAAAGGAATTGAGTGTATTTTTTTTTTTTATTGAAGACAAATTTTATTCCTTCATTTTTTAACTAATTTATTGAATGAATTATTAATTGAAGTTCTATTTTTTTTTAATGCTTTTTTTAAACAGTTAAAGTCTTGCCAAAACGTAATAAAAATGTAATAAAATTTTAATGATTTTGTAACTCAATTAAATATCCCTTACACTCAATTAAATATCCTTTACACTACACTTTTCAATTACACAGCACTTCAACAATCCTTTACACTACACTTTTCAATTACACAACTCAATTAAATATCCTTTACACTACACTTTACAATTAAATATCCTTTAAACTCAATAACTATCTTTTAATAGCACTTCTTAATATGCTTTATTGAAAGAAAAAAAAAAAGTAAATGTGGAAACATTCTTACAGTACTACATGTATTACCTTATATAACATTTTTAAATTATTATTATGCTGTTAAATATTTGATGTGCAATTTAATTATCAAAGGTTATTCATATCTTAAAAATAATAATACCAAGCGGGTACAAGTGGGACGTAAGAAAGATGTCTTTTTAAAATTTTCTCAACATTTTGGACGCTTTGGACGTCTTTGGAACATTCAAAAGACATCTTTTTTTAGGTTTTGTCCCCACTGGATAAAGGTAGAACTAAAATTAGAACTAAAAATTCTAGTTTTGGGTAAATAATAAATATGAAAAAATTGTATATTTACCCAAAACATTTTTCTTTTCAAATGTAAGAGTAGTGATAGTAATACATTAACCTTGTAATCATGAAAGTTTGTTAAAAATAAATTGCTGTAATTAGTTTTCATTTGGGTTGGCAAATGTGTTCAAAAAAAAAAATTCCAAATTTTGCGATTTTGTTCATAAAGTATGGAGCCAAGCTGGAAACCAAGCTGGACATTTTTAAGGAGCCAAGCAATAAAAAAAAAAACTTTCAACTCAACAAGCCTGGTTACATGGTTGATAAGAGGATTATTTTTATTCAAAAAGTTAAGCCACCCACTTGTAGCATATAAAAACTTTTTAAAGCAAGCATTAATTTTTAAAACAAGCATTAATTTTCAAAACAAAAATATGCTTTTCTATGAATTTGCAGAAAACTATAGTTTGCAAATACGGATGCAGAGCAAAGTTTCCACTGTAATAGTCAGGCAACTGTGTACCCCTTTGTTTTTTGTTTTCAAGATGAAAAACTTGTTTGCCAAAGTTACTGTGTTATATCAGACTACCTGAAACATGGAACAGATGGTGTCGCTGCTTGCCTTTAATGTGTGTTTGTCTATCTATATCTATACATCTATATTTTATATATATATATATATATATATATTATATATATATATATATATATATATATATATATATATATATATATATATATATATATATATATATATATATATATATATATATGTATATATATATATATATATATATATATATATATATATATATATATATATATATATATATATATATACAACCCTTAGAATTAGGAAAAATGAGGTTGGTAATAATTTGCCAACCTCAATGTTTTTGAGGTCGGCATCAGATCGGCAAAAATTATTTGATGCAAAGGTCTGACCATAAAACATAGAAACAAGGTCGGCAATTTTTTGCCGACCTTAAATACTTTCAGGTCTGCAGTTAGGTCAACATTGCCAAGTTATTATATATATATATATATATATATATATATATATATATATATATATATATATATATATATATATATATATACATATATATATATATATATATATATATATATATATATATATATATATATATATATATATACATATATACATATATACATATATATATATATATATATATATATATATATATATATATATATATATATATATATATATATATATATATATATATATATATATATGTATATATATATATATAGCATCCTAGTTCACGACTTTCGGGGACATGTTATTTGTTCCCGTTCTGTTGTTGTTTTTTTTACTTTTTTTATACTATTTTTATCATATTTATATTTTTTTTTAATTTTTATTTTACTTCTATTTTTATTTATACATATTTAAATTTATTATTTTATTATAAAAATATATTTTTTATATTAATTTTTGTTATTTTTATTTATTTACTTTATATAATATTTCATTTTTAACTTTATCTATTTACAAAAACAATTAATTACAATAATATAACCAAATTTAAACCTTGCTGTAACCCTTACCCTAAGCCTGACCTTGATGCCTGGCCAAACCAAACCCTCAGTCGATATAGCAGCACTCCCTTGTGAGTCAGACTGTTTGTCAGTCGATGTATGTACTTTTTGTTAAATGTGTGTGTATATATATATATATATATATATATACATATATATATATATATATATATATACATATATATATATATATATATATATATATATATATATATATATATATATATATATATATATATATATATATATATATATATATATATATATATATATATATATATATATATATATATATACTTTTGCATGGTTGTATTCAAGTTTCTACCATAAAATGTCAGTTTTACGTTTATTTTTTGATTTTAAAGACTAGATTTATTTTTAATTATTTGATAGACTGCCTGCCCATACCAAACTCTCAGTCAATGTTATGGCACTCCCTTGAGAGTCTTGCTATTTGTCAGTTGATGCAGCAACACTCTATTACGAGTCAGGCTATTTGCCGATGTAGCAGCACTCCATTGCAAATCAGGCTAATTGTCAGTCAATGTAGCAGCACTCTGTTGCGAGTTAGGCTATAAGAAAGTTGATCTAGCAACACTACGTGGATGTTTTACAGTTAAAAAATAAAAACATTCATTTTGTTTTTATTTTTAAAAAATAAAATAAAAACATTCAGAATGTTTTTAAAAACATTTTAGTCTTTTAATTTGTTCAAATTAAATTTATGTGTTTTGACATAATCTAACCTTAATTTTGTCAGCATTAAAACCACAAACAAGCAAAGAGCCATTTTTTACCACAAACACGTTTACTTAGCCATAAAGCATAGGTATATATATATATATATATATATATATATATATATATATATATACATATATATATATATATATATATATATATATATATATATATATATATATATATATATATATATATATATATATATATATATATATGTATATATGTATATATATATGTATATATATATATATGTATATATATATATGTATATATATATATGTATATATATATATGTATATATGTATATATATATATATATAGGGGCTATTCCAGACCGCTTTCGGACAGGATAGGCAGGCTTGGTTGGGAAGCGGGAGCGATCGCTCTCGAATACTGACCACGGAAATTATATTTAGTTGCGAAAAACTGGCCAGGTTTTTTAGTCGTTTTGAGAACATTTAAGTTTATGTACAAAACAAAAAAATTTTGTTTTACAGACATACATGGAAACATAAAAAACTTTAATGTTCTTATAACATCTTGGTACGAAAGAATAAAAAGAATATTCGCGAACACTAAAAACCCGCCAAATTAACGAACAAATTAATTCTATTGGTTCAAAAAATACGCTGACTAAGCTAAATAAAGTTTTTTCAAAATTAAACAAGCACCGCGCCTGAGGTCACGATAGAACACAAATATATATAGCAAATAATTAGATATAAAGAAAAGTTTCTAGATATTGGTTTACTAACTCTAATTATTTTCGCTTAAGTTGCCATTCTTTAAACTCGTTATACTTTTTTCTGCTTTAAATACTATTTAAAATTAAAAAGCCCACTCACTAAACATCATCAGCGATATTGTGAAGCAGTTTCGCTTCCTCGTCATAAATTATTTTTAACTTTTTTAGTTGATTTCTATTTTGTTAATTTAATTTCTATATTAATTCAATGATTTAATCAGGGATTATCTTTTTCCGGATATTTCCGGAATTCCTGATATTTTTCTCAACTTTTAGTTTTTCCGGATATCAAAAATGTTTTCTATACATACAAGTTTAGGAATATATTTTTGTAATATATTTATTTTTTAAGCTTTTTTACTCATTACTCATACAAAACTTAAGAAAAAGTTAAAAAAAAAAAATTAAAAACAACTCAGTTAAAATCAAAATTATTAGGAATATTAGGGAAAATATATTCCGGATATTTTCCAGATATTTAACCCTACTGATTTTCCGGATTTTTAAAATATGACCTGGATGATCTATGTTTAATTGTTTCTTTTGTTTATCTTACTAAGAAGAATTCAAATATGTTAAACTTTTCAAACTACGCGAAACATAAAATAGGTATTAATAAAATTAACTTTTTTTATTTATAAAATTATTTAGCTTAAATAAAACTAAAACTTGCAAACTTTGTTAAATAAAGAATATTTGTTTCCTTTTTTAAACGCTTAATTT